AGGATGCTCCGTTTGAGCAAGCCAGCGAGTGCTTAAAATAATGCACGTAAGAAATAGAAGTGAAAGCAGAAGTCTTACTTTTGGCCAAGTGCTGTGACTGCTTCCCTGTGCTGGGCCGATCTCGGAATTTACTTCTGCCTGTCAAGATTAAGAAAGGAACATGAGAAAAATATACAATCATAACCAATCTTCCAGTGGAGAGAGGGCTTACAGTCTTACTGTAACCAGGGATATGCATTCTCCAGAAACCTGCAACACCTAGGAAGGGTCACATTTCCTTCTCCAAATCTAATTTCTGTTTGATTAACAGTAGCAAGTTGGCATGGTGCCAGTAACTTCAATGCAGGTTGAAATGCAGGCCTGTTATCTCAATCAGATCACGGCCCCGTATTATGCACCAATAACTGCTGGGGCTTCAACTTAAAATATACTATTAGTCTATTGATTTAAATGGGTTCGGACAGCAAAATACTAGAGACATTATCCATCAAAGAGTGTTATGAGCAACTTTCCCAAGACCTGCATGAATACAGTGCAATTATTGGTCAGCACGTTTTCTTCATTTAGTCTCTTAATTAAGAAGATGTGAGAATTCCTGGCCCCTTGAAAGCTAAAGCAACTGGTTTCAAAGCTGAAGGCTCTTTAGTAACATTTAACCAAATCCAGATACTGTCAATGACACTACTGAGAATAAACTGAACAAACACACCCTGCAGTGGTTACTTCAAGAACACCAAAATAAATGCAACAGCCTTGCTTCTGTATGAATGTAATGACAGTAGGTGCTAAAAGCAGTTCTGGTTTAAGCCAGAGCTTGAATGACTAAATGAGCAACTCTGTTCTGCAACTCTCTGACACCCTCAACAGGGCACAGGCAGACCCTGTCGAGCACTCTCCCAAGAGAAAAAGCCAACAAACATCAACCAACACACACACAAAGAAAACAAGCAAGCAAACCACTGAAAAACCCCATCTCTCATCCAAAAGCACAAAAATCTTTAACAAGGAATTGGTCTTTAGATGAACAGGCTTAAGTTGGCCAGCACAGAAGAAAGCTGTTCCTCTGTATCAGACAGCTAGTTCAAACCACAACAGGCCACCATTACCCCAGGAAGACTTACAGAGGAAGGTGACTTGTGCACATCCTGATCCACTGATACCAAAAGTGAAGGCTGTGTTCTTTCCCCTCAACCCCACAATACGCCTGCTCAGTGCTCTGCACTTACTGACTGCTCCATGAGTCAACCCAACTCAGCCAAAAATCAAAAAAAAGTGAGGGGGGAGGGGACATTTTCTGTTGGGTGAGCAAGTTGAATAACTGATAAAATAGAAAAGTCCAGCTCTGGAACAGAGCAGCTTCTCCAGCTTCCGTGTGGGCCTGCCTCCTGACCCCCTCCCAGACAAAGAGTTAAAAGGCACAAGAAAAATACTAGCAGAAAAAAGGAAAAGAATTCTGTAGCATTCTCGTATTTACAGGGAAGGACTTGGAATCTATTTTTCTACTTACTCTGTGATTTTGTAGAATGGTGCTCTTGAGTTTTCTCAAAGAAGTCAGCCTTACTTTCTGAAACCAAAGCAAAAATTATAAATGAAACTGTGACTGCATCCGAGTTTACAACAGTAAGATGTTTCCAACACATGTTTAGGTCTTGCAATGACTTCTTCAGAGCTTATCAGGGAAGGAGTACACAGTGTACTGCCAAACTACTCACATGAGCCTCTCAGACCCCTCTGTAAAGGAAGAAAGCTACCACATCTAACAGGAAGGGCCTGCCACTTGGTTCACACCTATCTTTTGTCAGTCTGCGCTCACAATTGCTTTCAGGCTTCTCCCACAAGCAGCGAATTTAGCTGGGTGATTAAACAATTACTGATTAAATGAATTTCAAGCCACTCCCTGATTCTTCAAGCAGTTAGCTACCAGCTCCCCCAGATCCCCCTCCCAAAACAACATTTTAAACATCTTTGTCCGTTCAGGTTTCAGCTCAACTCCTCCTTCAGTATCATTTGAGTACAATTAAGCAATCATTTATTACATCACAAGAAAGGCACGGACAAAACTAGCGCTGTTACCTTTCAGCGGTGTATAAACATTAGGCTGATCCCCTGCTGAATACCTGTGCTCAGTTACATCATAATCATTCACTTTTTCCTTTGCTGGGCTCTCTGGAAGGAAGGAAGCCGAAGAACCACCTGTTGGGTAGGAAAAGAGAGATAAAAGGAGGCCTGATATAATCTCAGTATGACTGGTGCTCATAACATCACAAAAACAATGGACAAGATACAGTTTTAGAATGTATATGAACTGTTTGTGTTTTTCTCGTTACGATCTCCCAAGGGTTACTTTCTTGACACCAAAAAGCAACTAAGAATTGAAAAGCTTATGGCACATTGGAATCCTCTGCAAACACAGCTGTCCATGCTGCCACACAGATTTATTTTGATTTTTTTTTTTTTTTTTAAAGAGCTTTTGGCTTAAAATCAGTTCAGAGCATAACATCACATGCTGCTTCTCTCCAGGGCACCCACATCCCTCACTGAAACCCTCAGGGAGCTCTCAGGCATCAACTCACACCATCAATGTTTGTCCAACCCCGCAGCCACTGAGAGGCCAAAACCCAACTTAGCACTGCCAACAGAAAGAATAAAGTCCAGTAAGGTGGCAGAAGCTGCAAAGCAAAGGTCAGGGCCGGCTGACCAGTCAAAAGAGATGCTCACAGGAAAAAAAAGAGGTTTGAAAAGATGAAGACATGTTTAAGGCTGCCAAACAACAGCCGCAGCATCGCACTACGCAGTGCCACCGTCTTCCTGCCATCCCACCCAGGCTGCCAGAAAGAAGCTTCAGCTCAGCGGGCGACCGAACCCGGGGGCAGGGGAGCAGCAGGGCCGGGACTCACCTGCCGCCCTGCAGGCGCGGATCGGAGGCCGGGTGAGGCTGCCCGGGCTGCTGAAGGACGGCTCGCCTCCTGCAACGAGATTCCGCTTCTTGACTCCGTTATCAAAACTCTCCGCCCGCTTCCCCAATCCGCCCGCCCGCCCCATTCCGCGCCGCCCCACCGCGCCCTAAACCGCAAGATCCACTGCGCTACGCCCGCCCGCGCCGCTCACCCTCCGGCGCCCCACCAGAGTCGGGCTCGGCCTCGGCCGCGAACCGGGGGCTCTTCCGCCTGTGCTTCAGCTCCGGAGCGTGCGGCGGAGCGTGCGGCGGAGCTTGCTCCTCGCCGTCCTCCATTATCCCGTCCTCTGCTCCGCGCTGCACCGAAGCTGCCGCCTTTCCGCGGCGGAGGCGGCTCCGCCAACCTTACTTCCCGAGGCGGGGAGAGCTCCGCACCCACCACTTCCGCGTCACGTGGGACAGCGCATAGGGCGCGCACTGCGCCGCCTTTATTTCCGGCCGTGCCCGACGTGACGCGGAAGTGGCGGGCGTGGGGTTGGACGGACGGACGGAGCGATGCAGAATGGTGCGACCTTAACGGAGCTCTGCAGCTCCTGTCCGCTGTGTCCATCATGCTGCTCTTTACCTTTGGCCAGAAACAAGTCAAATACACCTTTGGCCAGGGTGCGAGATGGATGGCACCCAAGAGCACAACCCTGGGGGGAGATGATGTTCTATGCAGATTCTGACCTTGGCTTCTTGCATAACAGAGCATCGCAGGGAGTGCAGCTCGCTGTGGATAAGTCACTTAGGCTTTTTCCTTTACGCTTTGCCGTTCTTCCTGTTTTTACAGCCCTCTGCTGCATCCGGTGAGAGATTGTTCACGACAAAAGAATTTGCTGAGTCTGTCTAGAAGGGAGATGGACTCTGTCCCCTGCACCTACAGAGGCTTTGTGGTTAACAGAGGGAGCTGCTGCCTGCTTTGCTGCAGGAGGGGGAGCAGGGCATCCACTGGCTGTTCCCAACCAAAGGAATGCAAACAGAATGGCACACAGGTCCCCTTCTGGCTTTAACATCCCTTAGTGTGCTAGCCTAGCCTGGTCACTAGGTGTATATCCAGACACTCTCAGTCCTGCTTCTCAGCAGGACAAGGGGAGAAGATAAAAGGAAAAATAAGAATCAGTGCTCAGGATAAAAGCCAAATCTGCTAATAGAAGCAATGAAAAAATCAATTACTCTATAAAGCATAGCACTGTATTTGCTGCCACGAAGAGAGAGATCTCCATCCCATCCAGACCCTTGTATGTCCCTCATACTCCAGCTCTGGGTGTGGGAGCACAAAGAGCAGACCATGGAACAGGTTTTGTTCACCTTAGTGACACCTTCCATTGCGAAGTACAACTCCGCCAAGTCCTGCACTGGCTGTTTATGAACCTAGTGACCAGAAATAAGTTTGATCCTTTCTGACACTCTGCCTTCATTGCCCGAGTGCCAATAAGGACTGAAGATCTCCTGTACACAGAATTAAAAATGCTATTTCTTTAACTCCCTTGAACTTGACCTACTATCTGGTGCGTAGGTGTCTAAAGTTTTGGCAACAAAGGGTTTGGTGAACAACAGCTCCACCAGCCTTCTGCTCTCCAAACTGAAGAGCTCCAGATGCAGCCTCAGCTTCATAGCAGCACCACTACAGTTGCTGTTCCTCATGCTTTGTTTCAGCCATTTGGTGTTGGGCTGTATTGAGGGTGTTTGTATAGAGGCTGTAGCCTGATCTGGGGGGCTGCAGCCTCTTGCCCTTGCACTGATACCTTTGCCTTGATGTTCCCACGTCACCAGTTCCTATGAAATAGGTCCTGGGGCAGGGGATAGAAAAGATGGAACATATCTATCCCATGTAGGTACAGCAACATGTATTACTGTTTTGTCAAAAAGCATTGCTCAAACATATTTAAACCTACAGCACAGAAATCCAGTATTCAGAAGTACAGCCCTGAAGGTTAATATGGAATGCTCCAGCAAACAGCCCTGCTGACAGAGATGCTGCTTCTTGGGGAAGAGGTGGCCGCGTTGGAGAGGAAGGAGGAAAACTACAGCTCCCAGCAGCCTACCCGGGCGCGTGAGGAAGGGCAGGGTTCACCTTTGCACCCACAGCGGAGGATTCAGAGTGTATTCAGGGAAAGGACTCTTCAGCCAGCCCCAGGGCAAAGGCAAGCCCCAAGGCCATTGCTGGCCACCTCGCTGCTTCTAGTTGCCTCCCTGACAGGCTCCAGCCCTGCCTGGTAAGTGTCCGAAGGCACGTCATCTTTGTACTTCCTTATTCTGCAAGCGGAACAGCGCCGGGAGGGGAGGGACAGGAGCCAGGCTGAGAGAGCCACACTCTGCACCCATGCACTCCTAATTCTTGCAGTAGCAAGAAAACTCAGCTACAGAGGCAGCCCGGAAGGGGGATAGGGGGGGAGGGAAGATGCCCCTCCAGCAGGGAATCAAGATCTTTGGTCTGCTTGAACTCATCTTCGGCAGGGAAAGTTTCTAATGAGTTTTCCACACTGCCTGTCACTGGTTGGCTGGCAGGCATTGCACACTGTGAGTTCATGGCATACCGTAACGGTTACATGCACTCATTTTCCTGCAACGAAATTAACTTCGAGGAGAGGGAGGAGCCTCCCCTTCCACCATGAATCACTGCGGCTGTGTTTGCTCTTATCAGGTCTACAGGCATTCAGCTGCAGTTCCTGAGGCCGAGGCAGGATGGTGGCCCTGCCAGGGGTAGGACTTGTTCAGTCACCCCACCAGGGGGGAGACGAGTCCCTGGACAAGCAAAGGAGAAAGTGAAGCAAAACAGTGCTGGGACTCCAAGGGAGAAAAGAAATGGAAGAGAATTCAAGTGTGGGTCTGCCCGGAGGTAAGTGAAATCTATGCTTGCTCCACTTCCTGGGAAAATCCCATTGCAAAAGGACTTCAACACCAACAATGGAAATGGAAACCAAAAAAAGCTAAGAAAAATCCACTCTTCTCCAGGATACGTAGTAGCAGGTTACTTTCAGTTTTGTATTCCTATCAGCAACAGGTTTAGACTTTGTGTTTGGGATGCAACTCAAGAAGGGCCGAAGACAGAGTTCAGGCTGGGAGAGCTTTCTTCCTGGTATGCCATTGCTTTGTCATGGGAAATTGCTTTGTAATGCAGTGTGCAGAGAAAACACCTCTGGGCCAACAGCCCAGTGTAATCAGGTAGAACAGCTCCCACTGGTACTGCTGTGCACAGTAGGTGGCAGTGACAGAATCACTTCCCTTGGGTTACCAATCAAGGAGGAGGAGGTTCTGCTGCACAAATGTATCTTAAGTGCACCTGCAGAAGGAATTTCAGAGTTTACAACAAATATGCTTCCAGTGAAGAAGTGAGTCTTCACAAGGTTGTATCTACCAGGTAGGGATGAGATGGTTCAGCTCAAGTGCGGGCTCTTGATCCGCAGATCCAAACTCTGCACAGCCCAGAAGCCAAAAATTGATAGGCATTAAATAATAAGACAGTTTTCCACCACCTAGGGACGTAAAACCTACAGAGGAGGCAGGGCAAGGTACACTTCTTGTACCCAACTTGAATAGCAGGATACTTCTTGGTTCCTCGCATTTCAGTTCCTACCATGTGCTTCCATTCTCTGGTATCTTCTCTTGCACTGGAGCATTTCAGTGATAGCTTGATGCTATCTATAATCTAGGGTTGGCTTCCAAGGCAGCTATTGCGCAGACACCACCATAATTGTTATGACCAGTATTGAACAACAGCCTTAGAAATGGTTTGAGTCTATTATCTTAGTTTACTAGCCTAGGAAAAACCACTTTCTGGGGAAGAAGTGGTAACATACCCTCCATGTAATGAAGGGACTGCCACACCCATAGAATGGTGTGCACAAGGTCTGCCTAAGATAGACTTACCTTTCAGCATAGAGGCCTCTAGAGTGCTGTGTTGTTTTTCTTTAACCACAAGTCCACAAGTGAAAAATGTTGATAACAAACCAGTGTTTTGACTGCTGCGGAACAGCGCTTGTACAGGCTCAAGGTTTTCTCTTTCTCCCAAGAAGTAGGCTGAGATGGGCCCAAATTAGCTGAAGGGATGTTCCATGCACAGTAATGTCATGCTGAACAATACAACTGGGGTAACGGGAAGAAAAAGGTGGGATGGGGTTGATTTCCAAAGTAGCCATTATCTGGAGACTCTCCAGTCATCAGCCTGCTTGTGTGAGAAAGTGAGTGATTGCCCTTGCATCACTTAGGACCCCCAGTCCCCATCCTTCACTTATTTAAGTGTCTCTATCTCAAACTATGTGTATTCCAACTTTTAGTTAACCCAGGTGCCCAGCTGTATCAAGGCCAACCCACCGCACACTGCTGGTAAGATCTGAGCATTAAAAGTGCTTCAAGTTTCTGGTGTTGGACAGATCAAAGGACAGATAGAGGATTGCATCTCTGAAAGTGACTGCTCATTGTGTGGCTACCACTACAGCCAAAACAATAGAGTACTCTGTGTAAACATAAGGCACTGTGATTCACTGGTGATGATGGCTGGCCATGGTAAATTCTCCCCCAGAGCAGCTTGTGTAGATGTATCTGAAATGCAAGAACTGGGAGTTTTAGCAGGGTGGTAGTAAAGCGCTGGATGTTCTTATCTCCTGCATGGCTAACTGAGCTCGTGAACTCTGATCCCAACAGCTGGGCCAGCCCAAGAGGAGGTGGAGAGCACAGCCAAGCATCCTGTACACCAAGAACCTCCCCAAGAATCTCCTGAGCACCAAGTGACCAGCACATGGCCTGAGACCCCCTGCAAATCAGAGGAGGACACTTTAGTGTGTAAGCCACCAGCTGCTCATGGGGGAGAGGTGGCTCTGACAGAGTTAGATAGCCCCACAGTGGAGTCTCCTCAGGAGACTCAAGTTCCTCAGGAAACTGAAGTATCACTGGAAGAATCTGGGGAGACAAAAAATGATGCATCAGAAAGATCTCAGGAAGAAAATGAGTTGGACAGAGGTGAGTCTCTCCCCATCTGTGTGTACTGCATTTCCAAAATACTAAGAAACGGAGCCTTTCCCTAGAGGGGGCAGAACAGGAGAAAAAATACTCGTTTCTTATGCTGAAAGAAACTAAGCATAGGTCTGTGAATTTCATTCCTTACAGCCAGGCTGATGCAAAATGAAATGGACTGTGCAGGACACAACCACGGCCTCCAGGAAGCCCAGGAGGACCAGGAGACAAGCAGGCAGTGTGAAAGCTCCGACACAGCAGAGGAAGATGCTTTATCAAGAAGCAAGTCATTGAGCTCTGACAGCAAAATGACACGTTCAGATCTGAACGCCCCAGAAGATGTCACCAAGGGCCTCTTGGCGCAGGAGAGCCCCAGTGCTCCTCTCCTAGACCAGGAGGCAGGAGAGCACACAGAGCAAGTGACACTGGAGAGTGACTACTCAGGCATGTTAAGGAGCAGGCACGGGACTAAAGGTGAGCTGGTGGTTGCACACTGCTGCTGCTCGATCGTGCACATGCCTTTGCTTTGCTTAGGTGCTGGAATACAGTGAGATTCCTAGTGCCTGTTGTCAGTTCTTTTGGAGTCAAACAAGAAAGAAGGTATTTGCTACTCAGCACAAAGTTAACTGGCTCCTCTTTGTCTCTTTCCCCTTTGCTTCTGTTCTCTTTTCAAAAGCATGAAACTATGCTGAATCTTTCTTCTTTCCCTGCCCAAAAAGCAAAGAGAGACAAGACTTCCCAAAGGAGCATTAACTTTAACTCTTTCCCACAGCTGGGAGTTCCAGGATGATTTGTTGCATTTCTCATAACTACCCAATTGAGCTGTTCTCTCAACAGCAAATAGAAAATGTATTTCTCTCACTGTAGGACATGCAGCCCCACAACCAGAGGCTCAGCGCTGCTTGCAGAACATCAGTGCTCAAAACACAGAACAGGAGAAACCTACAGAGTCCCTCTTAGTGAAAGGTGAGGAAAAGGAGCTTCCCTTGTGCATTACTCATCGACCAGAAGGCCCCGATCCTCCAGGAACAAGTAATGAAGCACATTTAACTTTTCTTCTCTCTCATGACCCTTCACAGTCTTTTCTGAAGGTTTGAGGGAACCATTGCTCAACAGATACTACAGACTTGGGGGAAACAGGTCACAAAAAAAGCAATCCATGCCTTTAAAGAGAAGCCCAGTTTGACCCAATCTGTACCGTGCATTTCTCCTGGCACAAAGAGATCCTGGGAACACCAGCAGTAAGGAGAGCCCCACTGCTCTCCTTTCTGGACACCAGGGTAGTCCTTGTTCACCAAGCATAGCTAGGAGGAAGGCAGCAAACACAATAGCTTAGCTGGATCAGCCACCTCCATGTGTGGAGGCAGGTGCTCCAAATGGTCATGAACCTTAAAGAAAACAGATGAAGTGGGGTAAGAGAAGAAAGTTTGTGGGCTGCTATAATTTCAGTTGGCGTTCTGCCTTGCAGCCGGGAGGCTGTAGCCTTGCCCTTGTCTGTGGAGCTGTAGCCCCACCAGGTGGTGTGAAGTAGCATGGGTTCTACAGTATGGAGCAAGTGGTTTCTTCACTATTCCTGAGACCCCAGAGAGTGCCAACCAGAACCATTTTCTTGTCCTAGCAGGGAAGGTCAAGGAAGGTATAAACAGCGGGTTGCCATGGGTTGCTTGGGACTGACTTCCCCATTTGCATCTCTTCCCTGTTGAGCAGGACTTGTCGTTCTGGGCCTCGTATTTCTTGGCTTCTGCATATTCTGCTTCGGCAACCCAACCGCCAAATCCCAGCCAGCCCCCAGGAACCCCACAGTGGAGGCCTTCCTGTCCCAGTTCAACCAGCTACAGGACAGGTTTCCAGGGCAGAGTCCCGACCTGTGGCTTCGCAGTCGCAAGTTCCTGCAGAAGCACCTCAACACATCCCAGCACACGCAGCCGGCCATCATCATCTTCACAGCCGCCCGCAAAGGCGAGCGGACCTTGCGATGCCTTAGCGCCCGTGTAGCTGACACCTATTCTGCCGCCCTGCGTGCCAGCACAGTGCAGATCGATGGCAAGGATAAATCCGGGCTCCAGAGCGACCAGGCCAAGCTGGAGGTGGACTCAGAGCTCAGCTCAGCTTTCCAGGCTGGGGACCGTGCTGCGGTGATACATCGCTTCGAGCTGCTGCCAGCGGGTGCCACCCTCATCTTCTACAAGTACTGTGACCACGAGAGCGCTGCTTTTAAGGATGTGGCCCTGCTGCTGACCGTGCTGCTGGAGGAGGAGATGCTCGAGACCCACATCAGACTCCAACAGGTGGAAGAGAGGGTTCGTGACTTCCTCTGGGCCAAGTTCACCAGTGCCAGGACTCCCAGCTCCTATGACCACATGGACTCTGACAAACTGAGCGGGCTGTGGAGCCGCATCTCCCACCTGGTCCTACCGATCCACCCAGTGCAGAACATCGAGAAGTGGGGCTGCCACACCAAACCCTAAGGGCTTGCCAGAGCCCCAGGAAGGGTTGGAAAGCCAGCCTCAGAGCAGGTGGAGACAAAAATGAATGAAGAACTCACTTTGTTTAACACCAGTGCTGTGTAGAATTCTCTACAGGTTTTTTTTTTCCTGTACCTTCCTGGAAGAGTTCAACAGGTAAAAACTGATCCAGGCCTCCTGGCCAACTGAAGATAATAATAGACTATATGCTTCCTTCTGACAGGTGGGAAAAGCTGATATTTTAGACTGCTAATTGCACAGGAGCACGTTGCAATGCAGGGATGCAGGAAGGAAAAACTGCACGTTGCAGGAAGTAGAACAAAGCAAGGTAAAACTCACTAAACCCAACATTTGGAAGTCATGCTTCAAAAAGAAAATAGATTTGCTACCCAAGAGTTTGACCAGCCAGTCCTGGTACATCTCCACTGACTGATTCACACCTAAAAACCAGATCCTAAATTCAGAATGTGCAAACAAATCTGCAGTCCAGAAATTCCTCAAACACCAATGACAAAAAATGTTAAGCTATCAGCATTTAAACACTACACAAAACAGGGAATGGAGTGACCATTCTGAAAGCAGAGAACAAGGAAACACAAAACACTTTGTTGTCACTCTGATGGTGTGAAGCCCCGAGGCAAAGGGACGAATAATATGGTTTAACTTAATGCTACCTCTTAAAAAGTTCACTCTTGATCCATTTACCACCACAAGGCTACAAGAATCTCTTTGGGCAGATGCATCAGCTTTGGTCCTACATGATTCCTTTTCACCCAGATCTGATGGAAGCCATCAGAAGTGTTTCTACGTCATTTGCCTGCACAGAGGGGAGCCCTCAGGGTTGGGACATGAGCAAGCTGACAAAACACCTCCGTAAGCCATTCCATGGCCTTTCCAGGGCCCCTGGAAAAGCCCCCTTCATGGAGATTGAGAGTGTTTGCAGACCAGCAGTTCCCTGCCTTGCTTTCCCTTGTTCTGCCTGCCTCTCCCCAGCTTTTATTGATGAATGTAGATGATAATACTGATACTTATTTCAAGCCATGTGAGACAGCACACCAGGTCCTTGCCACCAAAGGTACTTTTGCCTTCCTGCCAGGCAGGTGATACTCTGGCTAACGTCAGAGCAACGAGGAGCAGACTGATACTAAGTGGTAAAGAACAAAACCTATGGCATTAACACCCCAAATCCTTAACTAAGCAGGATGGATTCTTACCGTGCCTCCTCTGCACCCCAAGAAGAGAAATCCAGGTCCTGTACAGTCTCCTACATGGTCCTCCTACATACTGAGTTGCTGCAGGAGTGCTGGGGCAGAGCTGCTAACTCAGGGAACACCTATGGGCAAGCACAGGTTGAAGTATCTACTGTAACCTAGCAGCCAGCCCCAGGTGTCAGCCCCTTGTGCCTACAATCATGGCTACTGGAGATGGAGCAGCTGGAGCAAAGCATGTCTTGCTTTTGTATGGACAACAGAGACTGAAGCCTTGCAGAGGCAGAAACTACACCTGAGCAAGACACAAATCAAGAACAGTATGCTGTTTATACAAGCAGTTCACCCAAGTGCTCCAGACCCCTGTGCTGGCCTTTGGTGTCTTGCTGATCTGCTCCACTGATGGCTCAGCCATCCACCCAGTGCCTGAAATCACCACCTGAATCTTCTGTCCTCCCACCACGTGCCTTGCCTCTCCTGGGAGATTCTGTGGCCATTGACTTGGAGGAAGGGACAAAGAGAGGGAAGAGGAAAGGGATGCAATTTGAACCAAAGAGCAGACATTTGATTTCTTTACAATGCTGGTCACATGAAGATGAGATCCAGGAGTGCTGCAGCACTTTATCCACTACCCCAGACTTACTGATGTTTATCCCCCACGGCCAACAGGGAGCTGAGTTACCTTTGCAGCGTTGGCCAAGGATTACACATGAAGCATCCTGTTGCAGAGGTTTTTACCATGCCAAACACAACTAGACGTGCTACAGCCCAGCATCAGCAGAGCAGCTCTAGGCGTGATTTTATACAAGATATAGGCAAGATGCTGGGTGCTTCCTCCTCTTCCTCATTTTTATTGTTGTCCACTACTTCGGTAACAAAAAACACTGTTTCTGCTCTTCATGGTTAAGTATTGGCGCTGATGTAAGAACTGGTGAAGCATTAATCGTGTTCATATTTTGAGAGAAATCAGTATTTTAAAGTTATCTCACTACCAGTTTTATATACCGTGTGAATAATGCATAGTCAGGGTATGCAGTGGCAACTTCATGCTGCTTGGGTACCTCGCTGTAAGCATCATCCAGCAAAGCTGTTCTAATACAGATACATTTTTATGACCTTTTAAAGACCAAAAGAAAAAAAAAAAACAAACAACCCTGCTTGCTTCTGAAACAAGACTTCTATTTAAAAATAAATGAGATTGTGAAAGAGAGCAGCAAAGTGAGGCTGAGCCTTACTGTATTCTGTTCTTTTCTCTAGCTTATTTCATAAAGCAGAAGAGCTGATCATATTGGACAAAGATTAAGTTAGGTCACGTCTGTAATTCTGCAAACAAAGTGAATACTTCTCTCAATTGTTTGGGACAAACATAGGCAGCTTTTTAGCTAAGCCCAAAACTAAGAACAAACCCATAGAGGAATGCTTCAGCTCAACCCAGCTGCTAAATGCAACTCCAGCTGAAACACGCTGGGGTTTGCAAAACACTCCATTGTAATACTGAAACTGAAACCCACTGGCAGCAGAAATATTTTAGAAACCAAATATTTCTCATTTCAACACTGTACTCGTGGAGGAAAAAAGAATTAGTCTGTTCCGCACAATTTCACAACACCTCTGCATATCCTCATTTTAACATTTGTGCTGAATTATCTCGCTCAGCCCTGGCCTAAACAGAGAGCATTTTTTTGGTCTCGCCTCTGAATTCAGAAGTCTCCCAGAACTGCCAAACTCCTGCTGGGCTCCCAGAGCAGCTCTGGCTGGAGGAGAGCATTGGTTTTGTATGTTCCCCCCCCAGATGCTGTGCTTGTTGTGGCGTGTGTTCTCCGCACACAGAGAAATGACCTTCGATGCACATTGAGTGAGAGCCCCCTGCAAGCTCCCCAAACCTCCCTCCTGCACCCTGGAGTCGCTTTGGGTGCGTCAGCGCCGAGAAGTTGCAGGACATGAGGATCTATCTGGGTTTGCAGGGTGGGAGGTTCCGGGTCTGTTCTTGCACTGAGCCCCATGCAGAGCAGGAACACAGCCGTGTTTTTTGAAGGGAAGCAGAGGAGGGTGGAAGGTGTCCCCGCAGCACTAATTTTGCAGGGAAGGATGTGCTGCAGCAAAGTGCTCGACGACTCTGAAAATTACCTCGAAGCTGCTCAGCTGAGGGGCAAAATCAGTTCTGAAAGCTCAGGCTGGACTGTACCTACATCTCTTTGCACTCAGTAAAGCTGGAAGGCAGGATAAGATAGACGGGCAGTGACCTCGGCTGTCCCAGCGCAGGGAGAGGGCAAAGCACCGAGCATCCCCATCGCTGTCCTTCCCCCTGCTCTGCTCGGAGCTCAACGTTAGCATCTCCCTCCGAGCACAGGGTTCGGCAGGTCCCTGGCGAGGGCACTCGAGAGCTGACAACCTTCAGAGCCGTAGCACAGCTTCCAAACGAGAGCCGGGAACGGCTCCCCAACCCGGGACCGCTCAGGCGGATCCCAGAAGCAGTTTCGGGTCACGGCGTTCCCGCAGAGGAGCAGACCCAGCCCGCGCTTGATGTGCGCGGAGCCACGCCGTAGCAAAGGAGCTGAACCGCTCGGAGCAGCCGAAGGGAGGAGCGGTCACCTCCCGGCTCAGAGCTCGGCTGCAGAGGGAAGCCTGGGATCACACGGGTTCCTCCTCAAAGAAAGAAACGCCGGTCCTCCTTTCGCGTTAGAAGCTCCATAGGCTGGCTGGCGGATCCCAAACGGCAGGAGCGCGAGGCACAGCGCTCAGCGCCAGCAGCCCGGACCGCAGCTCAGCCGAGGGGCGGGACGGGGCCGTGCCGCGGGGCTCCCCGCCTCCGGAGCTCGGAGCGCTGCCCCCCGCCGCCTCCCCTTTGTCCGCCGGCTCCCCCTCCTCCTCCTCCCTCCCCCGGCGGCCGCCGCTCCCGGCACGTTGTAAAGTCATTAACTCCCCCAGCCATGCCGGCCCGCGCCCCGCCGCCGGCTGCTACTGCCCCGGCCGCTGGTGGGCCGCCGCGCCGCCTCCTCCGAGCGGCGGCAGCAGCAGCAGCAGCGCGGCATGGCCGCTCCCCGCCGCCTCCTCCTCCTCCTCTTCCTCCTCTTCCTGAGCGCCGCCGCCCCCCTCGGCGCTAAGGTAAGCGCGGCCTCGGGGCTGACCTTGCCCGGAACGGCGCCTCCGCGCCCGCCCCGCCGACAAAGGGCCGCGGCGACCCGGAGAGGCCGCTCGCCCGCGCCTGGGAGCCGGTTCCAGCCCTGCCCCCACGGCCTTTAGAGGTGGCACCGTTCCGCTGCTGCGTGGGGAGCGAAGCCCCCCGGTTCGCAGGAGGGCTCTGAGCGATGCGCTGCTCCCCGCACAAAGCCGTGGCTGAGGTGGGATCGCCGATAGGACTTGGGGGGGGGACGGCTCTTTGCTGCGAGGGGAGATTGAGGTGAGATGTCAGGGGGAAATTGTTTGCTCAGAGCGGTGAGGAGCCGGCGCTGCTGCCCAGAGCTGTGGGTGCCCCATCCCTGGTGGTGCCCCAGGCCACGGATGGGCCCTGGGCAGCCTGAGCTGGGTGCAGCCAGCCCATGGCATGGGTGGTGAGTGATATTTGAGGTCCTTCCTGAGCCATTCTGTGGCTCATTCTGTGTACACCCCAGCTTTGAGCAGCGTTGTCACCTGAGCTGGGATTGCCTTTGGGTTCAAGCCCCAGTGTGCTGCTCCTGCTGCATTTTGCAGCCTCGCACACATTCTGCCTGCTCTGCTCTGCTTCCCAGGGTCAGCCTGCCAGATGTGCACTCCTTCACCCCACACAGAGCAGGCTGTGGATGCAGTGGTCATTAAGGGATTAACCTGCTGGTTGTGTTTTCTGCAGCATGCATGCAGAGAATGCCACAGAGTGCTTCAGTCCCTAGATAAGCAAATTCCTCCCTGCACCAAGCTCTGGACACAGTGCCTCTGAAAAAACAGATGGTAGGGATTCCTCATGCACACCCCATATTCCTTTCCTCTCTCTCTTCACAGCAGGATGATCAGCAGTGCATCAGAGTTCTCCTTTCTGGGGGGAGGAAGGGATACAATTGAAAACACAGTTGTTTTTTTCAGCCACAGCTTTGATCAGAGCACAACACAGAGCACCCAGACCTGGGGGCTGAACACGGAGCACATTTCCAGGAGCACAAGATAACATCTGCAGGCAGTTTGAGGCATTAGGACATCTGAAGCTGTTTAGTATCTCAAGCAAGTAGCAGAGTTTGCCATAGAGAGAAGCCTTGAGGTAAGGGATTGTGGATTTCTGTAGAGGACATGCAGTTAATGACCTCAGAAAAGGGCTGTTCAGAATTTAGTTCTTTTTCAGCTGCTTTTTTGTCTTATGAGAGCTTCCTGTGGCCTGCAGTGGTGCACAGGGCCCTAAGGCACATCACACTGCAACAGAGCACACCCCTGCAAGCTTCTCCACTCAGGGGAACTAACAGGGATTTGTTTTGTCTCTTCCTAGAAAGATTTCTAACCCCTGAGACACGGGCTTAATGAGTCCCAGGATTCAGTGCGCAGTGTGGGACACTGAGCCAATGACACACTAATTGCCATTATTCCCAGGTTTCTGGGAAACCCATTGTAGCTTAGAGTTGATCTGACACGCAACAGAGAATCATTAGAGGGTTTATTTTCTCCTTTCTGTTCTTCAGAAAGACCGCCTGGAAAACTGATAGGATGTCAGCCTGGGCCCTCCCTCCTTCGCCAGGCTGAAGCAGTTGTTTGTGGCAGCCTTTGTCTGGCTCTGGTGGGGGGTAGAAGGGAAACAGCTGCTGAGCCTTTGGGTAGGCAGGAAAAGCTTTCAGTGATGCTGGCTTAGAGACAGCAATATTGGAAAATTTTGGAAAAGTTCCCCAGCATCACCATAGGCTCTGCTCACCCCCGAGCAAGGGAACAGGAGGGCAGCCCTCACCAGAGCATGTGCACAGCCTCCCGTGTAGGTGTTGAGGCACAGGAATACCGTGGTTAGCCTCAGAGAGGAAGAGCTGCAGCTGTATAGCCTGCGTGCCAAGGCACAAGTGCCTCCAGGGGAATTCTTGAGGAGAGCACCTGGCTGAGCTGCAGGTGGCCTGTCTTTTCTGCTGATGTGATTTCTAGCCCTTAACGTTTCTCATCAGCTGAGGAACTGTACCTGATCCTCCCTTCCATATCCAAGCCCAGGCAGAGCCAGCCTTACAGATCCTGCACCTACACCCACCTCCTGCCCCACAGTTTCTGGTCTGCTCCATGCATGGTTCTACAGCGTGGCACAAGTTAGAGTGGGATTCAGCATCTCCCATAACCAGGAGACTGCAGAAGTGTTGTTTTAAAGCCCCTTGGCTCTCTTTCTCCAAGGAACAGGGGGGGAAAATCTGCTTGGCCAGAAGTAACCCTTGGGGTCTGCCGAGAGGCTTGGGAAATTGAAGCTGGGAGCTTATCTAATCTGGAGTCTATCCCACAAGCCTTAATTTATTATCTGGAAATTTGGAAAATGCAAGTATCGCTAATTACAAACAAGAGCCATTTGTGTGTCATGGTTAGCACAGATTCATTTCTGACAACGCAGCAAAGTCAGCCCAGATTGAAACCAGCTGCACGTACCTGAGTTTCACCTCCAAGTCTCAGGGCTGAGGACTCAGCTGCTGTCACACCGTGAGCCTCGCTGGCAAAGGCTGCAGCTCAGCACTGTCCTTGCTTACACAGATAAATAAGTGCTGCTGGGCAAGGGCTGGCAAGAGTGCTTGGTCATGGAAAACCTGAGAGCCAAATCAATCTATTTAGTGTGTGATTGATTGAGGAAGCAGGAACAGGGGCTTACAGAGGTAGAGGAACACATTTCATTTGAAAACTGCTGTCACTGCTTGAGCTGCAGCAGAGCCCACAGGGGTGGAGTGGGGCAAAGCCTGGGGAAAGGCTGGGTAAATATTGCCACTTCTGGCCCACACGCCTCCCCCTGGGCAGCCTGTGCACCCCTTGGTGCTCTGTGGCCACTCAGTCACGTGGAAAGGGGCCAGCTGTGATTGATGCTCCAGCTCCTGAGAGACTGCTTTGCACTGAGCTCTTTGCACAGACAGATAAATCATTGTCCTCTCCTTCCCAGCAGCTGTGAAGGGCGCTTCCTCTGCAGGCCTGGAGATGCTTATCACAGGGGTCAGGGGGAGATCTGAACTGAAAATACAGCCTTTCGTTTCTGTCTTTGTAACCACGGAAGCTGCATAGCCAGCATTTCCACCTGCAGACTGATTGTGTGCAGTCAGACAG